AATATAAGATCGAATCGATCGTTCTTATCCGAAAATAGGGGTCCCTAAGCCTATAAATACAGCCTCAAGGCCTTTATTTTTTTTCAAATCTGAAATTCTCGAGCGTTGGCGAAGCCCTGCCAAACTGAGGACTGAAGAGCCACGAATTTCAGAGAGGAGGAGGAGATATCAGTGAATTCTTCGGCATAAAGAAGTGGAGTTCGTCAGATCTGCAGCCCGGTTCCTTCCCTTGAGATTGCCCCGTTACGGTGATCTCGAGAAGAGTGATTATCTCGCTGTTGCCGAGATAATTGCTTCGGTTTCTTGATTCCTTCGCGAATCAACGAAGCTCCGGATCTGATCTGATAATTTTGTGGTCCACGGATATCAACGTCTCCGTCACAGGCAAAGATCCCACGCAAGCAGCGGGCGATAAACACCCGTTGCGTTTGTTTGAAGGAGATTGTAATTTTAATTTTATTGTGTAAAGGTCTTATAAAAAGACCGATCTTTTTTTGAAATTGTTGTAACAACTGAAGTTGTAATAAGTTATACAATGAAGAAATCGATTTCCCACCCAAACATTCTCGATGAGAGAAGCTACGTCTACGGCCACCGCAGGTAAATTCTATTATGTTCTGAATAGTTTACAAACTACGCCCTAATCACCCTTTTATAGCTAGGGTATTAGTGCGACTTAAAATTACATAAACGAATTGGGTCGGGTCTGAAAATTAGCTAGGCTCCACATAACCTAACACAATTCATGCAAAAAGGGCAGATTTTCAGCCATAATTGATGTGCAAATTGGACGAATCATAACAATCCACGGAATCCTTATTATAACATGTTTCGCACAAAGCTTAAGGGTTGTTCTATGCCTTAGGGTCTAAGGAGTTTGTCCTCAGGTTCAAACTACACGTAAGAGTGTTAGTTTGTTTTAATTTTTATTTTTATGTGTTAGCTCTTTTTTTTTATGAGGCTAAGTTTAGGGGCTGTTTGGTTGTATGTTTTTACCATGTAAAAGGATGGAAAGTGTAAAAAAGTAGGTCCCAATGTCAGCTTTCATCACTTTCAATTGTTTGTTTGTAGTTATGAAAATAGTGTAAAGTGATTTCATATGCTGATGTGACTTGTAAAGTGATTTAAAAAAAATACATGATTTTAGGAGAAAGCTGACATTGAAGTCAGGAAAAAATAATAAAAAATAATTTCAACCAATATGATCATTTGAGTAGGGACCACTTTTTACACTTTCCAAACAAACAATTAAAGTTACATTTACAAACCAAACAAGCAATTTATGATTCCAATGGAATCAAAAACAAACAAAGAAAAATATAAAAGTAAAATTGATGAGGTGGACAACAACTTTCCAAATTGTGTCATAAATACACAACTTTACCGACAACAACCAAACAGCCCCTTAGTAATCTTGCATTTATTTTTACACCCCGTGTCAGAAGCTGGTTTTTATGTTTAGTTTTCATCTTAGTTTTTATATTTTAGAAGGTTTTTATTTTTATATTTTTGGTCGACAAACTAAATTACTCACCCCAGCTTACAACCCACACCCACTAAGAAACCCAACCCAGACAATCACAGAAACATTCACAGATGACCCCACTAAAAAGTCTTGGGTGACCACCCATTAATTGTGTAAACCAAGTGAGGCTAAGGAGATGGTTATCCACCCACTTTAATTGTGCCAGGTCACATTCAAACCTGGCCCGTCTTGATTTATTTTGTGCTTGGGGAAAGTTTGGTCAACTCGAGCCGAGCTTTTTGTAGTCCCTTTTTCTCCCTCAAAATCAGACTAGAGTTGAACCATCCCCTACCTTGGATCAACTCTAACCTCGTTAACAAATAATTCAAGTTTGGCCTTCTTTTTATTGGGTTACCAATCAAAGCATAAGAAATTGGTTATTATACATAAAAATCTAAAGTTGTTTCCAATAAGAGCAATTTTTAAGTGCCATTGGATTCTAAAAGACTATTAACATCACTTATATAGAAGCTACTATTGCGACCAACTTCCGTTAATATAGTATACATGATATTTCTACTTATATTTTTATTTGTATCTAGACTTTATGCACGTGCATTGCACGTGCTTAAATACTGTGATTAGGTATTTTTAAGCTATTGAAGCTGAGGTAGGCTTGTAGTTTAAGAGAGGTATAACGGAGATCCGAGAGGCTGTCCCTTTGGATCCGTTAACTCCTTATATTTTTTTATCCTATAAATATTATTAACATCAGAGATGAATATTTATACATTATAATCAATTAATGCTAACTTATTATATTATAGTCTTTTGTTAGTTTTATATAATTTAGTCTTCTATTAATTAATGTTATTAGTAAAATTATATACAGTTCCTTAAATTTATATAGCAACATTAATTTTTAATCTACCATATATTTTTTAGATTTTACATCCTTAACTGAATAATTTTAATTTATTATAATTGTTATTTTTACCAGTATCAACTTAGACTACTTTTAGATACTGAAAAAGGATGATAAACTTTAAATTAAAAGTTAAATTTATATATCTTAATGAAAGAATATCAAACATTTGCTATTTTCTTTGCCAAAATTTAGCATTTTTGTGATTTTGAATTTTTGAGGGTGTGTTTTATAATTTTTAAACTTTGATAGCATGTTTAAAAAAATTTAAATTTTTAGTTAAGTGCTTGTAGTTTTCATATTTTGTGAATTCAAATGTTAAGATGTTTCTTGCAACTCTAAAATTTTGAGGGTTTTTTTGCAATTACTAAAACATCGGGTTGTTTTTTGAAAATTTTAAATTTCCAACAATCTGCTGATAACTTCTAGATGTGATGTCTACCAGTTATAAGTTTTGAAATTTTAGGATTTTTAACTTTTTATGGAGTTTTTTTAAATTTTTGTAACTTTTAGATTATTTTTACAAATCTTAAATTTTCAATTGCCTAATGGTAATCTGTAAAATCCGTCTATGTTGTTTGCAAGTTTTAAAATCTCTGAATTTTAGGGTGCATTTTTATAATTTGAACTTTTCAGGTTGTTTTTGTAATTTCAAATTCCACTTAATTTTTAGATTTTATGTTTCTTATTTTAAGTTTTGATAAGTCAGCGTGTTTTGGGTAATTCTAAACTTTTAAAGATATTTTGTATAATTTTTAAAAAAAGTTGGGTTTCTTTGTAATACTTCATATATTATAGTATGTTATCTGTGTAGAGTTTCTTAATCTTATTTGTTTAGATTGTTAGATTGTTGAGCTATGGGTGATTCATGTGGAGTTAATATAGGATATAATTAGTATTTAGATAGATTAACATTTAAATAAAATATTAATTGTTGAGCTATTAGTTAGTTCACGTAGGATTAGATAAGATACAATTAGAATTAAAATAGATTAAGATTTAAACAAAATATTCAAAATAGTGAAGGGTAATATTGACCATGGAAAGATTTTCCTGAACTCATGCTTTTAAAGGGAGTATGATTTGCTTAATTTATGCTTATTATTCTTAAACAACTATTACATTGCTCAATAATTGATTAGTAACATATCTAATCTAATCTATATATATCTTGTTATGGTGTTTTCAATCGTCAAAGTACGAACCTTTGCCAGTAACAAACAGGTGTGCTTCTGCATGTAATGCCCCAATCAAATTAGCGCCCAAAGACCCGCAAGGATTCCAACTTAGCCAACTCACTGAGTCGATATTCCCTTATGTCAACTTGAATGGCGGAACTTGTTGACCCTCTTATCAAAGACAACTCACTACGAGCCCACTCGACCAACTATTCGACACCATCGCGGGGTTAACTCAAGAGGCGTTACTTTTCGGCTAAGCCAAAGGATGACTTCAGTCTCAAGCCTATCCCATTGACAATGTATTAGCATCGTATTTAATGCTTGACATGCGCCCTCATGCCTCTATCCCCGATAGTCTTCATGACTCATCGGACCACGTCAGCACCGTCATGCCTCCCATCGCTTATTATTTAATGTGAAAGTGATCTCTCCTCTAGTCGCCAACCGACACCTATAAAGTAGGTGCTGATGCAGCCGTCAGCCCACACTTCTTCACTGTCATCCTGTACTCGACCGAAGTGACCATTATACCCTTATACCATTAGTATAAACAGGTGTACTATTCTAATATAGAGCTTTTTCTAGATCCAATTTTTTAAGCAATATCAGAAAATTATACTGCACTACACAAAAGAACTCTCACAGTTATTTATTTTCTAACTCAATTTCACCAGCTGACTTGATCGTCGGAGGAACCATGGGGGAACCAGTCACTGTCATCTTACGAATTTCTACTTGTGCAAGCTGGAAAGCTACCTAACTCAAGACCAGATATTCGGGGGACGGGAGCAGCTCCTCATCAACCTCATCCAACTATTTTTATTGACTGTGTGATCATTAACATCAACATATCTATATCTATATCTATATTATTTGTAAAAGAGAATATGGGTGTCAAACTTTTGACTTCCCATTTTGCCCCCGTAAATTTATATCTACATATTTTTTCACATTAAAACAAATTTGCTATTGAAACTTAGATGCTGACTTTTCATTTTCCCCTTATCAATATCCAATAACGTTTTTAACTTTTGTGCTTTGTTTGGGAATTTATTAAGGGAATGGACGGAAAGTTAAATAATGGAAAGGAAAGATAGGAGATGAAAGTCAAAAGATAAATGTTGTTTGGGTGTTTAGTGAAGGAAACAGAGGTAAATTTGTTTTACCTTGTTTGGGAGTTCTAATAAAGAGGATGGAAGCGAAACGAATATGTATAAAGTTACATAAATACCCTTACATATTGGATGTGAGTATATCTTAGTCATTGATTTTAATGTCATAAGGATATAATTGTCTTATCATATTGTAAAATTTTACAATCGTTTTTATTCTATCCTTTACCCCCCAAATTGGAGGGGAGAAAAATAGAAGGAAATTTAACCTTCCATTCCATCTTCCAATCCCTAAAAAACTCCTAAATATGGTGAAATTAAAATTTCACTTTCAACTTCCATCCATTAACCTCATTCCAAACAAGATGTTGTTGATATACATTCATTATTCCCTTCCATTTCGCAATCTCCACTCTCATCTAAATTTCACTCTCTCATCTCCATTCACCTCCGTCAATTCTTTCCTCCAGGTCGATACCCATGCAGTTCTCCTCCCTCTTAACATCTAACCAGAGTCGGTGCTTTCAATTTTAAGCTTGAGTCCTTTGTTTATCAATGAACATCACAAAAGGAGAAATCATAGGTAAGTGATTCATCTCATTTTTGAGTTTCTTAAAGTTGTTAGTCCATCTGATCTCGTTGTACAAAATAGTTAGCTTTATTCAATTTCTAGGGTTTTAACTAATTAGATCTTTTCTAAGGGTGCTCGATGGAACTGGTTCTGAACTATTTCTTGCAATGAACTTCCACAGCAAGATTGCGTTCAATATCACGCGAGTTGGCAGCAAGCAAGATATGATCTCTTTTCATCCAATTTGATTAAATTTTTTCCCTTTCTATGTTTTAGTTAGATTTTTAATATTTTTGGGCAAAATTTGCTTTTATGATGTTCATCTTATGGATATGTATTGGATCTTAATTTATTTCGTTGAATCCTTCTGAGATCCGTAGTTCTTTCACAATTTAACTAGATTTGATCTTAGATCCATTTTGTGTATACATTTGTTGGGATTTTAGATCTCGCAAAAGCTCAAAAATCACCAAACATAGCAAAAAGAATCACACGAGATTTAATGTTGAAAACCCTCTACAAGAAAAAACCATGGGATCAAAATCAATCCACCATCATCTCCAAATTATAATCTTTTACATGGACAAAGACCGTCAAACCTTCTCTCTTTCACAATACTCTTGAACCTGGTTATACCCTCTGTTAAACGCTGATTACAAGAATATTGTCTCTCTCCCTCTCTCTACTCTAAAATCCTAGAATAGGACGCCTTATTTAAAGACACCCCTGACTTGACCGCCAAGTTAACTTGGCATCTAAGAAAACTACTAGGACTGAGCCTAGCCTTCAAGCCCGCATCCAACTTGGAGTTTGAGTCAGTAACCAACATATCCTCCCTCGACGAAAAATCTCCAAGTGTATCAACGGCTTTAGAAAAATTCACTCTCTTCTTCTTGTTCTTCACCTCTCCCTTGTTAACAGATCGCCCATCTAAATAGCAAATACAGTTGCTATTCTTTCTCTCTTGCAAAATCAAATCACCATATTTATACACTTTGCACCATTCTCATTCACCCATATACTTGTACCCACACGATGCCATCTCACCCAACTAATTTAAATTAGCACCACATGATGGCACATATCTCACATGATAAATAATCCTGACCTTCCCAGTGTGAAGCTTGAGGTGAGCACTCCCAACACCTTCAACCTTCATCTTCTCGTTTTTTCCAATGATCACGTCGTCAAATTCTTTATCTGTTTTCATTGTGTCAAAATAATTTTTGTTGTTGCAAACATGCATAGAGGCTACATAATCTAACACCCAAGGGTTACTCATATCAGTACATGTACTCTACATAAACAACACGCGCCACATCTTCATCACACATAACTATCGAGGAGTCCACCTTCTTCCCATTTTCTTAAACCTTCATCTATCTAATACTCTTCAAATCATCTTGCATCTGGGAATATCTAAACTGAATGTGACCCTTCTCTCCATAATAATAGCACTCTCTTTCGCTGTCGTCTCGGGCCCAAGATTTTGACCTTCCTCGAAAACTGTCACATCTCCCGTTACTCCTTCCTTAATTAGAACCTTCAAAAGCAAGTGCACTCTCACCACCATTAGATACGGTCTCCTTTCCCATCATTCTTTCATTCTCATGTAGGAGTGCTGTCATATCGTCAAACTTCAAAGTTTGTTTCCCTGCAATTATTGTCTGAACTAACAGCTTGTACGACTTCAGCAAAGAAGATAGTAGGAGTAGCGCCTGCTCTTCTTCTTAATCTCCTCATCAATATTCATAAGTTAGCAAACTAGCTGATTCAATGTATTGATGTGATCTTGAATTACAGTACCTTCTTCTATCTTCAATGAATAAAGCTCCATCCTCAAACACAATTGGTTGGTCATTGACTTTGATGCATAAATCTCCTCGAGCCTTTCTCACAGCACCCTTGGTGTGGTTTTCTGCATAACATTGTACTTGATCTCGGAGGCGAGTGCCAAACAAATTGTGCTAATTGTCTTTTTTTGCATGGAACCCCATTCAACATCCTTCAACCCTTCAGGTTTTTTTCCTCAAAGCTTTATCAATACCCTACTGCATAAGAATATCTTGAACTGTACACTACTATACTGTAAAATTTGTTTTGTCGTTGAATAGCGGAATATCAAACTTCGGACCCGAAAAAGTCATCATCCTCTAACCATAATCAAAATTTAAATCAATCATTGTAGAGATTTAATTTGATAAAACCGACGTCAAAAATAAACTCAACACGTCAAAAAAACCTAAGAACAACTCCTGGATCACCAAAATCCGTCTCCAAACCCTCAATCAAAAGAAAAATCAATATGCACCGTCGGATTTGGTTTAATAGTTTGTAACCAAACACTCAACCACGTGAACAGTGTTCCCGCCGCTATAGTATTCCCACTGCTACAATACTTTTCTTTTTTTTTCATTCCCTCGATGTCAATCATCGTGCTTCGACCACTGACGACGCCTTCACCAATCGTACACCGCTCAAAACTCTACAGACTGTCGAATCCCAAACTAATACCACTTGTTGGGATTTTTAGATCTCACAAAAATCTCAAAAATCACCAAATGTAGCAAATAGAATCACATGCGATTTAACGTGGAAAACACTCAATAGAGAAAAATCACGATATCAAAATTAATCCACTATCATCTCCAAATTTTAATCTTTTGCACGCACAAAGACTGCCAAACCCTCTATCTCTCTCATAATACCCTTGAACCTAGTTACACCATCTGTTAAACCCTAGTTACAAGAATATTCTCTCTCTCTCTCTCTCTCTCTCTCTCTCTCTCTCTCTCTCTCTCTCATAAAACCCTAGAAAGGACATCTTATATAAAGACACTCCTAACTTGCTCACCAAGTTAACTTGGCATCTAAGAAGACTACTAGGACTGGGCCTAGCCTTCAAACCTGCATCCAACTTGGAGTTTGGATCAGTAACCAACAACATTATCTTAAAAATTAGCTTTTACACTGAGTTTGGATAGAGTTTTTCAGGAGGGGAGGGGAAGGTTTACAATTCTAACCCTCATAACATTATGTTTGTTTACACTTTTTAATTAGCAAGGGGTAAAAAAATATTCTCTCTCTCTCTCTCTCTCTCTCTCTCTCTCTCTCTCTCTCTCTCTCTCTACTATAAAACCCTAGAAAGGACATCTTATATAAAGACACTCCTAACTTGCTCACCAAGTTAACTTGGCATCTAAGAAGACTACTAGGACTGGGCCTAGCCTTCAAACCTGCATCCAACTTGGAGTTTGGATCAGTAACCAACAACATTATCTTAAAAATTAGCTTTTACACTGAGTTTGGATAGAGTTTTTCAGGAGGGGAGGGGAAGGTTTACAATTCTAACCCTCATAACATTATGTTTGTTTACACTTTTTAATTAGCAAGGGGAGGAGAGGGGAGAGATGAAAATTAGAAAATTCAACAACTTTCTCAGCCCTCCAAAATTGGATGGATTGGGAGGGGAGATGAGGGGTTTCAAGTAGAATTTTCTTGAAATTTCAATGTTGCTATATATGAAAAAACTAATGACGTTCTTTTTTATTTTATAGAAGGGCATACTGGTCAAGTAGCTCCTCTTCCCTTCACATTCCCTACTCTAACAAAAGCATATTATAGTGTACTCTCCCATCCACTTGTTGTCTATCTAAATACAAATAAATGCATCCCACTCTTTTCCTTTCCACTCCCTCCCCTTGGGTTTAAGTCAATCGCTCATCTCCCCTCCCCTCCTTTGTATCCAAACCGACCGTTAATATCTTCATGTGTTATATGTTGAGGTTAAATTTCTTAACCTTATTTACTCTTTGTAAATCTTAATAAGCCCAAAGTTGAGTGTTCACGTTGTGTGACAATCTACAATAGGTTATTTGTACTCTACTGAAAAAAGAACATCATTGTGATGTGATTAAGGAGCATAATACTTTGTACGATTTCATAATTAATCCAAAAGAGGTATCATCTCTGAACCTACTATTAATTGTTGTGTGATACCATGAACATAGCTTATTTGTTATCACTAGGTTTGGAAGTGCTTAAATTGAAATAGTGGTAAGTTTTTTATATAACTGGTGTTTCTCTTATCATGGCATAGTTATGCTGATTTATGTATCCTATTCATTGTGATACAAGATCTATTTTAATTTTTTTAGATTCATAAATCATAGTGGTTGCTTCTAGAGGTCAAAGTAGGATTTATTTTCTGGGGAAAAAACTAATATAGTAATTAATATACAATATAAGGAACATAACATACAAGTTTAAATATTTTTAATTGCAAATAAATCACTTTTTTCAACTTGGACCTGATATTTTTGTATTCATTTTAGTATTCAGCAGGTACAAATTATTTTTTTGCAAATTCATTATTAATGATGTCTTCTAAATACATATATAATTAGTCTATCCTCCTATAAATTATATAACAGTGATTAGGAACTTAGTAGTAAGGATCTAATAAGTGAAAGTAAACCTTATACAAGTTGTAAGGAATATTAAAATATAAGAAGAAAGAGAACTTCTAAAAGTTAAAAGTTAATTAGAATTTATTTGTCACATAAAAATATTAATTTAGCAAAGTTTAAGTTAACTAAACATTAAATACTTTGTAGCGGAATGCCCGGAGTAAGTTGTAGTAGTACTTTACCATAGCATGTCCAATCTAGGTATATTTGATGTAGCAAGAACATAATTAAAATATATTGGAAAATTCTCATAAGAGCAGGCCCTTTTAAATAAATATGTTATGCTACTTATGTAAATTGAATCTCTAACAAGACTTAAACAACAAAAGAAGTTTCATTGTAGAAGGAAGTGGTTTTAGTGCCCTATTAATAGTCCGCATAAAAATTTTACATCTAAAACAATTTTGTTGAGTTAGTTTGTATTATGAAAAATTAAAACTAACATTTGACATTAAGATAAAATATTTTCTACTTATATTTGTGTTAAAGAAGAAGGGTATATGATGTGAATGGTTCACGATCAACATGTTAGAATATTTCTATATATTCATTCCTTTTATTAAGAGATTGCAGATATTTAGGAGATTTTGATTGATTCTACTTGATTATAATTACCTTGTATAGCTCCTTCCTCATCCCTACATAAAGGGACCATGATTCATTGTAATTGACACAGTTTTCATATTCAAAAACATTATTCTCTCTAATACTTATCACAACAAACATAATGTATGAGTAAAGTTTATCATAAATATTTTATTTGCATCAATATAATCAGGAATATAAAGCAAAAATAGTTCAATAAAACCACTAGATGTTGTATTCTAAAGTATAAAAAGATGCAAGCTATCATTTGAGATAACAATATTGTAACAATTATGTGCACAAGCATATGTACAATCCCCAAGTTAACTCCCAAATACAAAGGAAATATAAGATTGTGTTAGACAACAAATATTAAAATATCAGACCTTTTATGAATAATATCAATTATGAAGAGGCTAGCGTTGCTTGGAAAAATTTAAAATCTATATCATATTTTATAATCAAAGTTGAGGATATTGTTTAGACTACAGTTGAATAAGGAGATCATGTCCTTCCCTCAAGTGGGGAAAAACAAATTGTACTCTATTAGCCAATTGTTTAATTGCAGTAGTTGTTAAAATTTTCTGAGTTACTACTTCCTTGTTCATATTAGTACTCTTTTGTAATTATGGAATTGCTTAAGATTAATTGAACTTCAAATTTCAAAGTATAGTCTCATTTTGAAATATTCGTTTGAATGAGTAGTAATGCTGAATGATAGACCTAGGAGTCTCTAATGCAATTCAGCTATAACTATATGGAAATATAAGTTGTGGAAAATAATAAATTGAGTGTTAAATTCATGTAATTAAACTAGACACGATGAAGGACCACTACGTCTGAGATATGAGAAGCTCCGCAGGGCGCAATGAGCAATTGACAATCTTTTTTGCGTCATCATAGATTCATAGTATCACCATTAATTGGAGAAGAACAATATGATATGATATTTTCAAAGTATGACATTAGGCCTGGGGTCATGCGTCAATGACGCCCCCATGATCCTTTTGTTCTCTTAGTAGTAATAAGACTATTACATCGCAAGGTCATGCGTCAATTTTCCCTAATAATAATAATAATAATAATAATAATAATTCTTTCACTCGGGACATAGACAAAATCGAGACATTGCAAACTTGGGGTTAGATAATAACACATTCTTATTCATAATATGATGATATGACGTCAACACATAGGAAGACAAGACTATTACATCGCACGCGAACAGACTCGGAAAAAAAAAAAAGAGATAGGAAGACTCTACTGAATACAGACCGCCAAGCTTGTTCGATACTGATTACTGCTAATTAAGTAGGCAGCTTATTTTTCGTCATGGGAAGCTATATGTAGTCTACTTGGTCCCCTCAGCGCAAGTAAGAGTGAGCTTGGCCTCATAAACAGCCGTAGTGTTATTACCGATGGACACACTAGACTTGCATCCATTGCATTCATCACTCCACTGGAGTTCAGCATCGTTGGTTTTATCTTGTAGTTGACCCCATCTGTTTTTGGTAAAGTAACCTGCTTCACGAACCATTGTATAGGCCTACATATGTACAAACATCAATTTAGATTGTGCTTTACATACAAAGTATAGAGTATGCACGTGTAACAAGAAAGTATCCGGTGAGAATGGTCTATGACATTAAATGTGCATTCAAAAGATGACAAGTTTTGGATTTGTGCACGAATCATATCTTGAAATTCAATGATTCAAGGAGACTGACATTTATTTGGTGCACATTTGATGTCATGGACCCACTTAACACTTGCTCTATTTATGCACATACCTTACAGTAGCCTGGCCAATACGGGTTCATCCACGAAAGCATGAAGTCTTGGTCTTCCCCAGCATCATTCTTACCACGATAGACGACAGCAGCTGACGATCCTGTTATCCCGAGAGTGGGATGCACGTGCAGGAAAGCACCCCACTGACCGTTGGCAAGATATTGCGGGATGGGGGCTTCCCAGAGATGCCCGTGCCAATCGTGGGTACTGATAAAAGTGATAGGATCACCGGTGGCATTGTAGACCACACAAAGCGTGGAGACTCCATTGCCGTACTGCTCCTTCAATATCTCCACAAAATGGAGGGCGTTCACGTTCTTGCTCTCCGCGTATATCATATTAAGAGCCTCGTGTGCACGGTCGCAGCGCTGGAGGGCGTTCACGTTCTTGCTCTCCGCGTATATCATATTAAGAGCCTCGTGTGCACGGTCGCAGCGCGTTATTTTCTTGCCGATGTATTTGGTCATTGCCTTCAGAGTCTCGTCGGTGATGGGGTTGCCGAACACGCTGAACGCCATGTCGACTGCCGATGAATTGAACGGTTTAACTGCGTAACTAAGGGTTGCTGTGTGATGAGAAACTAGGGAGTAATGAACGCATATTTATATACACATAGAACGAACATTTTTTTTATTAATAAAGAAAGACTATAAGTCTCACTATTATATATTTTGAAAGACTGGTCCTTTTTTCTTTTTTCTGAGGAAAAAGACCATGGTATTTTTTTATTATTCTTTTCTTTTTTTAAGAACATCCTCATTCCTTTTGCTTTAATTGTTTTGCTTTTTTATTTTCACCAAATTTGTCGCCATGTGCTTGTATTTTGTTGTGGGAATAATATTCATTCCATAAACACGGCACTACCAGTCTGCTACGTTAAGACCAAACTCGGCCTTCAATATTTAAAATTTATATCCAAAGACATTTATTAACCATATACTTTTGTGCTTATATATTAACCCAAAGACAGGTATTAAAAATAAGAAAATTTTGAAAGACCAAGGTCGCGAGGGACGAGAAACACGTGTGCTTGGTCAGAACCAGGCTCAGCAGGCCTCGGGCACACAACACTACAAACGGGAATGTCACAGGTGATACATGAGGATAAGGCTGTCCAAAAAGCCCCCGGCCCGGGCCCGGCCCGGTGCTCGGCCCAGGTTTTGCCCGGATGCCCGGGCCAGGCCCGGTCCAGAACAGTGCCAGGGCGGGCACAAGATCCGGGCCGGGCCGCCCGAGCCCGGGCCCCGGCCCGGATGAAACGGTCACCAGAAGGTGACCGTTTGTGGTAAACGGTCAGGCCGGCCTGGTCACCTAAGGTAACCGTTGGGCTGTTTTGACCGGGCCGGGCCAGGCTGCCCGACCCGGCCAAAACGGTCAAAAAAATGACCTTTTTGGTCGGGCCCGACCCGGCCATAACGACCAATTTGAGGTTTTGACCGTTTTGCCCCTAACAACCGTCAAAAAACGGTCAAAATGTGAGGGTTTTTTGATGATTTGCCTAGGGGGCTGCCTCTATAAATAGGGGGTTGTCACTTCTTCTCCTCACACCAAAACTCTTCTACTTCTCTCTAATACTATCTTATACAATATTATACTCTCTTATAATCTCTTATATTTTCTAATACTTTCATCAAATGGCTTCCGGATCTGAATATGAAGAGCAAAATCTATCTCGTACTGATCCAGAAATGAGTCCTCCTACAACAACTACTCCCCCTACCAGTATTAATCCTGAAACTGATGGTGACGAATCTGCACCAAGAGCTCCTAAAAGATCGAGATCTAATGTGTGGAATTTTTTTGAGAAGATAGACGTCACCAAGGATAACCACGGTAGGATCATCACCCACAAAGCTAAATGTGCGTTGTGCGGCCAGATTTTCCAAGCTCATCATAAGAGCGGCACCAACCACCTCAAACGCTATATTGAAAAACATAACAAATGCCATAATCTTCAAGGTGATATCCGACAATCTATGATTTCTTAATCCTCCTCCTCTGGTAGTCTCGATAGTTGGAGTTATGATGCTGCCCAAGCCAGAAAATACGTAATCAGGTTTATTATTCTTAAAAATCTTCCTTTTAGATAAGTAGAAGATGATGAATTTGAAGATTTGTTTAGAAATGGTTTTTATCTTGCATTTACCAAATTTTCTCGTCAAACCTGTCAACGTGATATTCTAAAATATTATCAGGAGGAATAAGGAAAAATAATTTCTTATTTTAAAAATTTAAACTGTAAATTTTCTTTAACTTCTGATATTTGGACATCTAGAGTACAAACTGGTTATTTATGAATCACAGCACACTGGATTGATGAAAATTAGCAAATATTTAAAAGATTTGTTTTTTTTATTGCAATTGAAGAGTCACATACTGGTATTAATATTGCAAATTTAATAATTGAAGAACTTATGAAACTAGAAATTGATCAAAGAATATTTTCTCTTTTCCTAGATAATACGAGTAATAATAATGTAGTTGTTGATTTTATCAAAACAACTCTGTCATTGTCATGTCATGGTAAACTTTTTCATATTAGATGTATCTATCATATTTTAAATTTAATTGTTCAAAGTGTATTTTTTGAAATTAAACCCATGATAGAAAAAGGTTAGAACTGTTGCTAATATGCATAATGCTTTTGAAATGAGAATTAAAAGATAGAAACAATATTGTAAAAGAAAAAATTATAATCCCAGACTAATTCCAAAAGATGTTGACAATAGGTGGAATTCCACCTATGCAACGTTAAGTGTAGCAAAAGAATATAAAGAAATTATAAATGATTTTATAAATTTTTAAGCTTCTAGTTCTAGCTCTGGTAGTAGTTATAGAATAACTGAAGATGAATGGACAATTATATGTAATTTAAATGAGATGTTACAAGTCTTTTATGATACTACAATGTTATTATCTCGTTGTTATTATCCAACAATTACTTTAGTTACTTTACAAATTTTAAATATTCAAAAGTTTTTTTCAAAATATCGAATGTATGATACTTTTGGATCTATAATTTTTCAAATGGAAAGCAAATTTAATAAGTATTTTAGGCCTATTCCTCATATTTTTGGTTTGGGGGTTCTTATTGATCCATGTTTAAAGGATATTGGCCTTCGAAGTTTGTTACAATCATTATATGGTGGACAGATTATAGACTTAGATGATGGATCCACCCTTACTGCTATTTCTCATTATTTAGCTATTAGAAATTATTTTTAAACATTATATGATGAGTATGCAGCTAGACATGGTGTAGCTGCACAACAGTCTACAGCTTCGGCGCCTTCGAGCACATGCCGAGGTAAAAGTATAAGTTTTGATAGGTATGCAATCGTAGCTGAACTAACTGATGGATCTGGACTTGGATCAACATTAGAGGTTTCTGAAATAGATGAATATTTATCTGTTTCCTTAGTTAAATGTCAAGGAAATGCTTTAGATATTTTACAATTGTGGAAAGTATATGGGTCAGTTTCATATCCTATACTTTCCACTATGGTTTGTGATTTACTAACAGTGTAAGTTTCAACGGTAGCTTCGGAATCCGCCTTTAGCACAGCAGGACGTTTGATCGACGACCACAGGACATGCTTAGATTCATATACTGTACAAGCGGTGATGTGCTTATAAGATTGGTGGAGGTACGAGAAGCGAACGCAAGGCATCGATCGGATGGCTGGAATTGAAGATAAATTTGAAGAGTTGGGACTAGCAGATAGGTATAAAGATTAGATAATATTCATCAAATTGTAATTTTTATTTCTTAACTTTAAATTTATAATGAATTATTTCGAAAAAAAAGTTGTAAATGATAGTGATATAGGTGAGTGTTTGGTGGAAAATTTGGAGTAAAAAGAATGAAATAAGTTTGATTTGTATTCTCTCGATCTCGATTACAATTGAATCCTGATTACAAAAGAGAGGAGAATTAATCTGGATTCTCTCCTTTGTTTAGTTCTGGGTTCTTCACGGTGGCGATGGAGTGCCTCCTTTGAATGTTTGCGTCGAATTTTCTCTCCGTTAACGATTCGACTGTCTTGTCTCGCAGGAACAACTAACTTGCGTGGCAAGTTTGATTAAGAACTCTTAATGAGTTTAAGAACTCAGAGCGAATTAAAACTCTATGAAAAGAGTTGTTAAAACCGAATAATCGGTTAATAAGCCAAATAGATTTTCTGTTGCTAAAGTTGAAGATGCCAATCTCCTCTAAGATTCGCCCTTAGCTGATCACCAGATGATCTCCAAAACCGAATTGAACTGCCTTGGTGCCGTTGATGTCAGAAAATCCCACTCTGAAAATATGAACCTCTCTTCCCAAAAGATCCAACCAACCCTACTCTGTTGAGTTTGTTGAGGTTTTATAGGAGGATAAGGAGTTGTAACTGCCCCCTTAATCCGCTCCTAAGTGGACGTGATTTCCTCAAATCGTGGGGAAAACGGTTCTGAAACCGTTCGACTCGTGTTTGAATGAGTCAAACGCCTAAGTTGGTGTTCGGGACCCTAACTCTGCGTCTTAGACTGGAGACGCGGAGTTGGGCATCCGCTGGATGTTGAAAAACACGAGGGCCGCCCGCATTTTGTTTGCTGAGGATTGGAAACGCGGGGGTCGCCTGCGTTTCAAGAATTGAAACGCGAAGATGAATTCCGCGTTTAGAAGGGGCTAGTTGACTTGTAACCTCTTCTCGTTTCAAGAATTGAAACGCGAAGATGAATTCCGCGTTTAGAAGGGGCTAGTTGACTTGTAACCTCTTCTGTAGAGCATTGCAAGGACCAGATGAATTCCGCGTTTAGAAGGGGCTAGTTGACTTGTAACCTCTTCTGTAGAGCATTGCAAGGACCATTATTCAGTAATCTTTGCTTTAGCTGTTATGGGGTGTGAAAGTCGTCAGATTGTAACTCTCATAGTTGATTGTGAAAACCACTGAATAGAGTTTTTCATCAGTTGTCGGAAGTGTCGTTGAATTATAACTCTTCTCGATCTATGTGAAAAGTCCTTCATTTGTAGTTTTTATTTGTTAACATGAAAGTCATTTGATTGCAACTTTCATCATTGAGATATGAAAGTCGCTGGATTATAACTCCCATCATTAAAGCTTGATGGGGTTCAGCCATCTGTTGTGTTTTTTAGACAGCCTACAGAACTCCCTCCAAAGTTTTCGAAAGTTTATGGTTGACTGGGACGAATTTTCGGAATACTTTGGATCCCAAAATTTGATTGATTGATTGTCCGCTTCGTCTGATTCAAAGATATCGTGAACTTGGTTACCGGAATGTCGAAATTCTACTTCCTTAAACCAAACAAGATAACTTTTGTGTCTTGGTGACAATGAACTTAGTCAAACAAGCTAAAGCCCAAATCATTGCCGATGAACCAAACAAAAACGATGATGACAACGAATTTGTCTGGATCCTTGAGATACTCCACTTAGTCTGCGATGAGGTGTATTCTCCGGAATTCATCTGGGTCCTTGAGATACTCCACTCAATTTACAATGAGGTGTATTCTTCGGGTTTCGTCTGGATCCTTGAGATACTCAACTCAATTTATGATAAGGTGTCTTCTTCGGATTTTGTCTGGATTCTTGAGATACTCGACTTAATTTACGATGAGGTGTCTTCTTCGGATTTTGTCTGGATCCTTGAGATACTCCACTCAA